TAAACGCTTGGGTTTGCACAGATCCCACCGTTTTGCTCTTCTCCCTCCCGCCCCACTCATCCACGCCCCTTCAACACAACGTCTGCAGTACCTATCTCCTGGCTTCCTCTTCTTTTTTATTGATAATGCTTTACAACTGTATGGGTTACAATCATGGCGAAGCAACTTACGAAATATGAATGTGGTGCATTCGCGACGGCACAACGTACAAAACAAGGCCATAAACTTGGGTCGGCAATCCAGGGACGCCTGTGCGCAATTTTCACAAGAACATTCGAGATAAAGCCGCCAAGGGCCGGAAAAATTTTGTGCGTTCGTGTAACAGTGTAAAACAACGTTTCTGAGAAGAAGCCGTCATCACACAACTGATCAATCGCCGAGCCTATTGCATCCTTGGCAGCCGTTAGCAGCGTCAACAAAACATCGATGCCTGAAAATTTGTTGGAAAGGAGATGTTGTACGTCTTGCCAAACAACGGAAACCGCACATTAGTGAATAGTACCTACCACAGGCTAATCGGGCTGCCTCCAAAGAAGCAACTTACATACACTGAAAACGAGGTGGGCATTAACTGAAGGTATGCAGCCCAGGATCAAATGGCTTGGCATAGATAAGTCCGGCGTGCGAAAGCATCCTAATAATAACAATAACATGGTATACCCGCACTGACTACCCGTGCGGTCTTTTCTATGCCAACAGATATTTAAAAATAAGCGAAATTATACATATGTATATATATATATATAAATACATACACATATATATGCATATGTATATGGGTATGTATACATATGTATATATATATATATACATATATATATGTATTATATTATAATACAGTATAACGGTTTCTAAATATATGTTTCTATTAGTACAGAGCACTTAACCTTCTAAAAAAATATTGCAAAGGCTGCAACAGACGAAGAAAAGCAGAGCAAAAACATTACTAACTCTGCCACAACAAAGAATCCTCCTCTTTATTGGCAGTTTTGATTTTATGAAGTGCAACAAGCAACTCGCCAGCACCCATCGGATGAAGACCCGTTTTGACACCTAAAAATGTGTCAAATAAACATAACGATCTCGCCAGGCATCATGCTGCGCTCTCTTCAACAAAACTTGACGTTCCTTTTAACTCTCTCTTCCATGTTCGACGGGAAAAATATAAGAGAAAAAATTCCGCAGAACTGATTCTACACTTACTTCGGCCAGCCAACAACTTCTGAAACACAACAGGAACGGACTTCTGATTCGATGCCACAAGAACATATTTCGGCAAAATGTTTAATATTTGGTCCTGGAAAACTGTTACTGATAGGATATGAGAAAGTGCTACGATCTGTGGGTAATTA